TAACATTAAATCCTAACTAATTTGAAGTCGCATCGCATCGAATCTCATCAGGAGAAGCTCCCCTAATATCTATTTCTTCATTCATAAGATTTGAATTCAAAACTTTATTTAAAGGGAACTGAATTCATTTCACTCAAATCAACAAGTCATTGATATTATTGATCCTATTTAGTGCCATTAGTACGTCGCATAAACTTTTCTTATTCCACACATTAAGTAAAATTAAAGTTTGAATAAAATTTTAAAATTCAAGTATTACTTTTCATAGAAAAGAAATTAATCATGTGTTTTGTGATTGAGAGTATATATATATAGGTCTTGTATGGTAATAATAATCCCTATATGCAACGTAATTAAGGTTCTGATGCAGAAATTCACCCTTTTTGAAAATCGTTCCTTGATTTTGGCATTCCATTGGTGCCTTAATTAAGCACGTACGATACTCTATCCTCTACAATAAGATCCTGAAATTGACATTATGCCCCTGAACAGGCAACAACAATAATTTTATGCTATTAGCATTGATTTTTATGTCAAGTAATGCTATATATATATCTTCAGCAATGCTATATATATTGATTCAAATAAAAAAATTTTGATTTTTTTTAAATAATATTTTGAATTTGAATTTTGTAAATAAAAAAATAAAAGTTAAAAGATCTTTTTCTCTTTTGAGATTTGATACGATTCAATTATCAATTAATTGAGATCTAACATGATTATTAAATACCAAAAAATTAATTAAAAAAATGCTATATATAACTTCAATACATTTAATTTGTTTTAAGTAAGTTTTTCTATGCTATTTATAGATGGATGAATATTCGAGCAACTCGCAAGATAACAGTGTGCCAGGTGGTGGTGAAAGTGACAAAAATTGTAAAATATACATCAAATTTGAATTGACATTTAACTGCTATACATGACTATGTATATTATGTCAAAAAACAGAAGAAAACTATAGATGATAAGCATACTTAACAGTATTTAAACTAACAAAAGTGACAGATTAATTAAGATCAAGAGTGAAGAATATCCCAGAAAGTTTATGCTATCTCGATATTGTTCTTGGTGATGGATCAGAAAGGGGTTATATTAATTAATTGATCCGACCTTTTCTTTTTCCTTAAAAACAAAGAAAGATGCGAAATGATTTTTTGATCCTATATATATTGAAAAGGAATTAATTATATATTCATTTATGATCAGGATATTACTAAAAATATAGAAAACCATCCTCATTGTAATTGGATGTTATCATAGGAAGAAAATGTCTTTGTTAATTTATGACAAACTTAGAATCAATTTATTTGACTTTAATTACTATGTAAGATGCATTTGCCGGCGAAATTAAAAGGAAATGAATTGAAAAGTGTCCCTTTGATGCCAATTATCTTCGCATTTAATGATAATTCCTAGCCGATAGGTTTCTAATTTTGCTACGATCAAACACTTCTTCAAAGAGATAGATGTTTGTATTAATGCATCACTTTCATAAAGAAACACGTAGAAGCAAGTTTTAGTCTGTAATTAACACTAAAAAAAAAAAGACAATAATATAATTATGGGTGATTCTCATGGGTGGTCACCTAACTTTATTAAAATCAACGTTTTCATCACTCAACTTCTAAACCTAACAAAATGATCACCTAACTTCTTAAGTTGTCCAACCGTTAGTCACCCATAGTTAATATTAACTGAAAATGTTAAATTGCCGATAAGGTGGCTAACTTAAATGCCACGTCATCTGACCTGGCATTGCAAGCACTCATTAGCACTAAAAACGTGAAAATTGTAATCTAAATTCCTAAAATTTTATCTTTTTTAATGATTATTCACATGATGATCTTAAGGTCTTTTTTCATGCTAGTTTCTTTATTTTCAACTTATACCTTTTTGTTTTTTTGATTATATTTTAAAATTATCAATATAACTATCCAACATTGTTATTTTTATTTTCAAACAAAAAATATAATGTTATGTCTGCAAGAGTTTTGATCATTTGTGTTGTGCCAATTTTGTTGACACTAGTCTTAGAGAAGTTTAATTATAATGTCACAAAAATTTATAATTTTATATTTTGGATATGTTATTAAATGAATTAATATATATAATATTACAAGCGAGTTCTTAAATGAAAATAACTAATTATATAATGATATAAGAATTATAAATTTATAATATCACATTACATTATAATTATATTATTTTTAAAATGAAAAAAAAAATCTTTAATTGCATGTACAAGTTAATTCATTCATAAAAAAGTGTTTTACAGTCTAAACTGCACAACATTGACCATTGAATAGTAGTTGAATTCATTGGTATTGAGAGTTCTTTATCTAACTCAATGATTTATATTTTGCAATTTAATACAATTCAGTTTATAAAATAAGTTTTTCTTTGTGTATTCTTTTGAAAAGAAAAGAATAGCAATTAGTGGGCTTGCCATATGTATGGTCTATCAGAATCAGTGGTATCTTTAAGATTTGCTATATGGGCCTGTTAGTTGCAAACTTGGAGTAACTTATTTGGGTCGAATGGAAGAAAGCCCATACCCCAAACAGATATGTGGTCTTTTAACTAAAGGTTCTTAAAGCATCTTTAGATTGCGACACAAGCTTATTCTGGACCACCGTCGATGGCGAAGGCCCCCCAATTTTTTTTTTTTTTTTAATTTTACCATTCACGTGGATGGTTATGATCCACCAATTGAGTGGGCCCCATCAAGCCAATCAAGTCCCGCCACGAGGCGATTGACTGTGTAACGCCGTCAAATGAGACTTCTAGGTTTCCGTTCTGTGGGAGTACAGGATACGGGAATCGAAACCGCAGAGAACCGTACTTAACCACTGACACTTTTTTTAGGTTACCTTCAATTTGGTCCTTAAATTATTATATAAATCTTTAATTTAATCTTTAAACTAAAATTTTTTTTGATTTGGTCTCTAAATTATTTTACAGATCCTCAATTTGATCACTATTGATTACCAATTTATCCCAAATTGATTTTTTCATACAAAAAAAAATTAATATATCTGTTACTTAACAGTGAAAAATAATAATTTAATAATAAAAAATAATAACTTAATGATTAGGTATTACGTTACTAATAAAATACATTAGTTGGTTTTGTATAGAATAACCAACTTAAGGTAAGTTAGTAAACAATAGGGACAAAATTGAGGGTTCGTACAATAATTTAGAGATCAAATCAGGAATTTTTTTAATTTTGAGATCAAATTAAAAGTTTTTACAATAATTCAGGGACCGAATTGACGTTTTAACGTTTTTTGGCCGTACCCGTACTAGTAGTATTAATTATTAAACCCCCGCTACCTTTTTAGGGCAGCGGTTACGACGATCAGTCTTAATCACTAATTTTTTTTTAATACTATCTGTGTTTTTTCAAAATCATTAATTTTATTTATAATTTATTAGTTCATATTCTTTTTATTTTAAAATAA